TAGGAAAATATCCAATTTTTTTTTATCATACACATAAAAATCATAAATACGATTATCATTTATATAGATAAATCGTTCTACCCCGTACTACCATTTTTATTGTTATACATTTCCTTATTTTCAATAATATAAATTAAAAAAAAAATCAAAATAAAAATTCAATATTATAAACAAAGTAATAAATTGGATTGTAATAAAATACAAAAAAAAAAATGAAAAACAAAATAGTAAATTAAGCATACGGTAGCTTCCTTTACGCATCGATAGTTGACAGAATAATTAAATCGCATGAATAAATTTTATTCAAAAATTTAGGTTAAGGTTATGTTTTATAATAAAAATCAAATATTCAATTTATTACTGTCTTTCTGTATATGTACGTACAATATGTATGAAAATATACAAAAACATTGCGTTTCCAATAAATTCATAAATAATAAATAAAAGTTGTATACAATAATAAAAGAATAATTTTCAAATTGAAAAGAAAGTTCATTCAAAATATTAAATAATATCATTTTGTACACATGAATCTAACAAAAAGAACTTGTTATTTAAAAAATATTAGAAACTGTGGGAGAAATGCAGATAAATAAATTCTGACAATATTCTAATGTTGTGATGAGATTTTATTGGTTCAAGTTTGTAATTTTTTTGTCAGATGTTTGATCGTTTTTTCTTAAATTTTCAACAATTTCCAAACATGAAACTCACCAAAGTTCTATATCCTGTTATTACATCTTATCAGAAAGTTTAAAATATTTGTAAAAAAATTCTCTAATATTATAGCAATAAATCTGTCATTTTATCAATACAATGACGTTTACTTAAAGTATAAATTATAAAAATAACACATTGTCCTTATATAAAAGTCAAATTTTGTATAATAGTTTACAATTTCAAAAATTTTAATTTTGAAATTTTAATTTTGACAGCCTCTGGCGTCATGATCGTTCTATCTCATGTAAATGTTTTTCTTTTCCTTCTTCACACCTAGAACTTATGTTCTCTTCCTAGGAGTGAAGAAAGAAAATAAGAGGAAATGAAGTAGTGCAAGATACCATAGATAGTCATACCCTAATTTCATTGCGTCATTTAATTTTAACTAGGTAGGTGACTATAGCTTGCCGTAAACTCATGCAAATGTGTAACTTATATATTTGCATTTTAAGTAATAAAACAAATGTCAAAAGTATATGCAATTCTAAAACATAAAGTTGACTATATAAGCAGCTGTAATTGTAAGAATTCCTTAATATGGCCAACTGTAAATAATTCACAATAATTTATGGTTATATGTCAGGAATTAATTTAAAAAATTATGCCAGCAATTATAAAAACTAATTTACTTTTAATTAATTTTTCCTGTAAAATACTAAATAAAATTTAAACAAAAAAAAAACAGCAAAATTATTCAATGTCATTGTCAAATTTTCAACAATAAAATGCCAATTTGCAAAAAAAATTCATAACTATATATATATACAAAAATTTATATCCACGTTTTATAAAAAACATACATACATACAGATATACAAAGATATTAATTAAAAATAAACTATTTCCAAGGCCAATATCGTGAAAATTATAAAAGAAAAAGGATTATCGTATAGTTTATTTTATATGAAATAAAAAAAACGTTCGAATTACGAAAATTTTATTAAAAAACTATAAAGTGAATATTAATAAAAAATAAAATAATTCTCATTCATAATATTTATATTGTAGTATACAAACATTTTTTACACATACATATATACGATAATAATAAAATTAGCAAATATATAAGTAGGTTAAAAACTATATTATTAAAATATTTTATTGATTTTCATAAAGAAACTAGATTTATTTCAATAATATTTTCATATTATTTTTTTTTTAAATATTTTTAACTTTTACTTCTTATGAATTTTTGTTTTTGTTCTTTATCATTTTTTATAATCATGAAATACAAGTCAAAAACTTTTATGAGTACAATGCATGTTAAAAAACATAAGGAAAAAGTTTGACATATTCTTATTGTAGTTATTTAATTTTTATATATGTATATTTGTACTATTTATACATATAAAAGAATAAAAGAAAATTATATGCAAAATCAGCTAAATTTATTAAAAAATTTTAGTTAAAATATTGAATAAAGACTATAGGGTTGAAATCATTAATTTTTCCTATTTCACTGCCAGTAGACAATACCAGAGCTTGTGGCAGCACTAAATTTTAAATTATAAGCTTTATTTAAAAAAATTGTCTTTAAATTGTTGAAGAATTTTAAAATTTTAAAATTTTGTAAATATTTATATTACAATTTGTATGGCAAAAGTAAATCAAATTGACTGTGATCATGTCAAAGTGACTTTCTGTCATAGCAAAAATATTTTTAAGCATACGAAAAATTCAAAGATGAAAACAATAACACATTTTCCAAAGTGTCAGAATCTTATACTATTTTAATAAATTTTTCCCGAAAATTTCATTTTTCAATACCTCAATAGATGAATTAACTAAAATTATCCTTTTTTAATATTTTATAGAGTTCTCACATATTTCTCCTCCAATTGTCTTTTCTTAATACATATTCTATAAAATGTAATTGTAAAATAAGGAAGCAATTTTTGAATAGACATTGTTATAAAAGTAATTGAAAATTATTGACCCGATGTTTTATAGAAGGTGAAAATAGCTAATCATAAATTAAACTTTATCAAAAGCGTTGTTTTGATTTTGGCAGATGGAGTTTTTCGATAACTCCTTTTTCTTCCCATTCACTTATAATTTAAACATAAAATAAATACAAAATTTTATTTTGTTATTCTTTATATTGTTGTTGTTATATTAAATAAACAAAATATGCTATGTAATTATACATTTGCATGTAATGATGCTTATAACTTGGAATATATAGTTACTTTATAGAATCCTCTACTTTATTTTCATTCCTTTTGTGATTACTAAAAATGAAATTTTTAAGTTATTTTATAAAAATAGTCTTTTAATTTTTTTTTTTTAGTTATTAAAGAAAAATTGCCAAATATATTTTTAGTTTCTTTTAGAATATAAGTAATTTTTTTCAATAAAATTTATTGCAAACCAAAATTAGTTTGTTAATATGTTATGAAGACGAGGAATTTTACATTCGTCTTCATATTATATTCGTCGTCTTCATATTGTAGTAACAGAAGGAAATAATATTTAAAATAAATATGTAGTTAAACAAAAAAGATTATATTTTCTTAAATTACACTATGTTTAAAAAAATATTTCAAAATTTTTTAAATGTTTAAATCTCGTGTCTCAATTCACTATATATTTTCACTATTTTGTATATCCTATACTATAAACATCCAAAAAATAAAAATGTGCAGAAATCTACAAAAAAAAATCTCCCAGAAATATGCAAAATTCAAATATTAAAAATATGTTAAAACTGAAAGAGTACAGTTATTCTACATAATATATGCAATTAAATTTAAATATATTTGCATATTCAGTTTAATTTAAAACATACTATCATGTACAGACCTAAAACAAGAAATTCTTTATTTAGTAAACTTGCTTAAAAAATAAAACATTTCATCTATATAATAAACGTGCCCATTCACCTCGTCAATTAATCAAACATTTTTTTATTTAATATCATTTTATATTAGTATATATAATTATTATGATTTTTTTTTTTAATTATTTTGATTGTTAACGTCTCTGTTCCCTTCCAAACCCCTCAAAGTAAAAAAGAAGTGTATATACAAACTAGATAGTAAAATCAAACAGCCCATACAATATTAAATCAAATACATGAACAAACATTTATAAATAATTCCATTTCCCAAAATATGAGAGAAGAAAACGAAAAGAAAATTAAAAAAAAAACGTTGTAAGGAGCTTTGACTTTAAAAGAGCTGTCTTATTACAATTATAATCTATTTCCTCCCTACCAAATTATAAAAATTTATTTTTTTTTCCTTCTTTGTTAATATTTCAGTTATATATGAGAATATATTGGTAGCTGTTTGTAGTAAAATGAAGGTCACATTTATATCTAATTTTAGATTCCCTATATAAACAAAAATAATACTTCCTTAACAATATTCCAAATATTTCAAAATATATGTATACATATATGAACAAACTTACAATATACGAATTTGATTAAAATAGCTTTATTGTATATTTCTATTTCATATATTATAATATACTGTTATAATATATATTTTTACTGATAGAGTTACAATCACATACTTCATATATCCTCATTATAATTATATATATAATCATATATCTATATAATCACATATATGTAGGTGCACAGGTTAGCAACCTTCGTTATACTCCTAGATATATGGTTATATTTATAGTATTATCCGAAGGAGAAAAATATATAAGTGACTTGATACTAAAAGCTACATATAACAGTAGAAACTGATCATATTTGAAGCACAAATGTATATACATATATATTTATACATTATGTGCACCTGTATATATGTAAATTATTTAAAATATACATACAAAGATATTTAAGGAATGCTTTTTTTCTTTGATTTTTGATTTTCTTCTTTAAACTGATTCAAAAAAAGGAAGAAATTCAGTTCCTTATAATAATATAAAGAATTAAAAAGTTTTTATAAAAGAAAAAGCTGAATTGAAGTAAATGAACATGAAATCAATTTCAATAAATTAACCGACACGCACGCAAATTTCAAAATAAAAGATTTTTATTTTCTTTGCTATTTTTTTTTTTTTTTTTGCACACGGAATAAAAGAGCTCTCCTAAATATAGGCAATTGCATTAATACATGTAGGCATTATTACATATAACTATTTATTGACTAGAATGAAAATAAAATATCATGTAAATAAAATAACTATTTTTAAAAATAAAAAAAATAATAATTTTATATATGTAAGTATGTAAGAAAGTTGATTTTTATACAAATATAGAATGTAAAAAAAAAGAACAACAAAGACTCCATACATAATAATGTTGTTTTTTTACTCAGCATTTTTAGCGAAATCGATAAAACTCTTCGTTTAGTATCAATGCAAAATTTGTAAAATGAACATCTGGATTGGAAAAGTATTCTCTGAAGTGCCATTTGGCCATGTTCTTATTGTTTGTGGAAAAATTAAACCCAATCCGAACAAGTAAATTTGCAAAAAAAAAAAAAAAATTTTAATCATACCATAATATTTTTAAATAAATTTAATTAAAAAATAATTTAAAACTTAAAAAAAAAATTCTTAATTAATTTGAAATTATTTTCAAAATTGAAAAAAATTATATAAAAAAAAAAAATAGTAAAAATAATTCTAATATTTTGTGATTTGTTCTTTTTTTTTTTTTTCTTAATTTTTATTTTTTTAATTTAAAATAAAAAATCAAAAATCATATATAGAATTTGTGTTGGTCTCACGGATCAAATAAAGGATAAACATGAAATTGGAACAGTTATGCTTCAAATTGAAGCAAATTTTCGTGAAAATCAAATAATACGTAGCATGTACCAACCTGGTAATGGATGGTCACAAGAGGAAATATCAAAAAATATGTGCCATGGTACATTAAAAAATCCATTGATACCAGGTAAATAACAATTTATAAGATTTATTTTAATAATATTGTGAGTTTTTAGAAATAATTAATTGATAATTGATATTGTTGTTGTTTTTTTTTTAATATGACAAATTATTTGATTATAACTGCTTATATCCAAGATGTTTATTTTTAATTTTTATTATATAAAATTGTGATTGATTCTTTCCAATATCCTCTATGAATATAATTCAATTTTATAAATTCTGTGGTTTTAAGAGAAAATATACTAAATAAAAATAAGTATCAGGTACAATTTGCAAAAAAAAAAATTATGATTTTCTTGTATAACACCAAAATTAAGTCGGATACGGTAATAAATTTTAAAAGGAAATTAAGATTTTAAATTATAAAAAACTCAATATAAAATTAATTTTCAAAAACTGTTTTCGACGATAAAAGATAAAATTTCAAATTTAAATGCAAATTATAAAATAAAAAGCAGTTTTAACACTAGTTTCGTTAGTAATCGAGAAAACTTGTAAATTTGGAATTTTATTTGATTCTTCTCGGCGTCAAAGTCCTGGGCGGACCAAAGCCTCTGCAACTATTGCCTTCCAACGATCTTGCTATTTGTGTGTAATTGTTAACTTGCATTTCGCGTAAATCTTTTTCTACTGCTTCTAGTCATATTTTAAGTGGGCGCCCGCGCCCTCTGTTTCCTTGGGGTATACGACTAAAAGCTTTTTTCACGGCTCTCTCTTCTGGCATGCGAACAACGTGTCCTAACCATTGTATTCTTTTTGATTTTATGAAACGTATTACATTTTGGCCATCAATTAAACTATCTAGCTCATCATTATATCTAATTCTATAGGTTCCATCTTCCATCCTTATTGGGCCAAAAATCTTTCTTAATATCTTACGTTCAAAGGAGGCTATCATATTTGTGTCTATGGATTTCAGAGTCCACACTTCACAATTATATGTGAGAATTGGTCTTATAAGTGTTTTGTACATTCTCAATTTTAAGCTTTGCGTTAGAAGCCTGGATCTGAACAGTCTTATATCGGCAAAAAAGGCTCTGTTTGCTTATTTTATTTGATTATTAAGTTTAAAAATCTTGATATATACTGAAAATGTCGAATTCTACTGACTATAAATTTTTCAGGATATTTCATACCCCCATTAACTTTTCCTACTTTCATTTTATTCCTTTTAATTTTTGTAACTTTTGAATGACATTTACACATAGAATAAAAAATTTTTAACATGCTATACTAGCTAATAACAAGTATCATGAAAATTAGAATTTCTTTTTAACGACTTAGAGAATATTAACATATTATATTTTTTATATATTTTATTATTTATTTCATCGAAAATTTATAAAGGTTAATGAACTTTATAGTTGATCTACTTAATATTCTTTGTTATTTTTCCCGGTAATAATCACAATACAATTTGTTATTCAAATAGTATTTTTCCCTTAAATTTATATAATAAACATAATGTTGTAAATAAAAACCAAAAAAAAATGGCGAAAAATTTCAAAATTAATTATACTTTCTTGTTATAATTGAGGAATAAAATAGTTATTAATAGTAAAAACGTAGTGAAATTGTCATATTTTCCTAGTTAACTATTAAGTTTTATTAGTAGAATTTTAAATATTTTAATCTAATTACAATGATGTAAGGCCAATTCAATAAATATTTCAAAAATATCAACGTAAATGTGAAATTTCGTATACAATTGTTATATTAAAATAATTTTTATATTAATATTTATTAGAATTATAGCTATTTACCAAATAACCCAGAAATTATGTAAAATTTTGTTATATTTTTTTATGTACACACATATATGCTTTGATAATTGAATAAAAATTTTAATATAATTTTAAAAAACAAAATTTTCAGGTGACACATTCAATTTTCGAATTGCTGTATTACAAAAGAATTTTGAAATTTATGTAAATGAAAAATTATATGGAAGTTTTGATCATTTACAAAGTCCGAAAAACATCAAATATGTTGTTGTACAAGGCGATTTTGAAAAAGTAACAAAATTCCATCATCGTATGCTTTTCCCATTAATATTTCCAAGAAGTCTTTCATGTTGTGAGAAAATGTGCTTCGAAAGTGATGTTCCAAAACGCTATGAAATGGGTCTAATAGATTTTTTTTTTTGCCATATTAATTAATAAAAAAAAATATAAAATATTTTTTTTTTCTATTTTAGGAACTGTTGTTGTTTTAGAAGGAATTTGTCAAGGTCCACCATCAACAGATTTTTCAATTTGTTTCTTATGCAATGATACTGGTAGAATATTTTTGAAATTTCATGTTGATTTCGGTACAAAATGTGTTATTCGTAACTTTCAAACATCAGATTGTAGGTTTGTTTTCAGAATTTTAAAAAAATAAAAGAAAGTAGAAAAATAACTATAATATCCGTTTTTATATTTCTTTCATATTTTTGCAAATTCTAATTTAAAAATAATAATAAAAAATTTTGATTTTTATAATTTTAGATTTTTATGTGAAAATGAAGAACGTGAAGGTGAATTTCCATTTAAACGTGGTAAAAGATTTAAAATTGCTTTTGGCTTAGGCGATAAAGCATTTTTAATTGCTGTTAATGGAAAATTCTTTACATATTTTAATTTTCCTCTAAGAGAATTTTCTATTTCAACATTACAATGTTTTTGTAATTGTCCAGGTGAATTAATATTTAGTAAATTAGAATATCATACGGATTCATCACTATTGACAAAAGTTGAGAAATTATCAAGTAATAATTAAAATGATAAATATAAAAAATATAAGTCAATTGATAATAAAATATCAAGGAAAAACCAAATAAATAAAATCATTAAAATACTGCCCAATTTTCTATAGAATATTAAGTGTTATTATAAATAAATAGAATTTTATTTAGAATTCATTAATAATTATATTAATAATGTATAAATGTTAGTAAATGCATCGAAATAAGTTGAAATCATTTTATCATTTATTATTATTAAATGTTGTTATATACATATATATATATATAGATATACAAATTATTCAATATGATTTTTATTTGAAACACGTAAGAAAAAGCTTTGATATAAACACATGAATTTTCGATTCGAAAGAAACTTTAAAAAAAAACAAAATATTATAATTCATTGCATACTTATAGGAAAATTTTTCTGTTCTCAATAATATTTGATTTAATTATTATTTATAGCTGATTGATTATATTATATGTATAATTGAAATATTACAAATTTTAATTAAAATTTTTCAATAAATAATTTTTAATCATTTGCAATCTAAATTAATTTTAAAAATTACGTATTAAAAAATCAAATAAAAGAAGTTGAAAAACTCATTTAAAGTCGTTTGAGATTAATATTTTCAAAAATATTTTCAATTAATTAATATTATACACATAAATAATAATACGTAAATGATTAGAATGCATTGAGTTATTTTATGAAATTTAATAAATCAAAAAAAAAATATATTATATACGTATTATACATATAAATTGTAAAATTAATTATGAATCAAAAATGTTAAATATATAATAAAAATAAAATTATTTATTATACGAAATGAAAGTTATAGCAATGATGTTTTCAATAAACCATCATAATATATCTACATCTATACTAGTTTCAATAAAATGTTGCTGTTCTTTAAAGCCGCCTGGTAAAAATTATGGACTATGGTAATGGACAAATTAAGTGGAACCTTGGTATTTATCGAAAATTAAAATAGTATGATTATATGCTATTACTCAGGCATGTTATATGCTACTGCTCTATTTTAATTAACAATTTTATAACAGCATTGTATGTAAAATGTTATTAAAACTTGTATTTCGTTGTTGATTATAGTCTTACAGAAATATTTACAATGCTAAACTCAAGATGTTTACAATTTATAAATTTACTATTCTACTCGCATTATTAATTTAAATACAAACAAAGTTCCTGTTTGTATGGCTGAATAAGCCCATTTCCTTTTAATTTGTTAAATTTTAATAACTGAAATTAATTAGAGTGTATGTACGTATATGTACGAATATAGAATAAAAAGAAACTCTTAATAAATTAATTATTAATTTGATTTTTCAAGCTCATTATTTTTTTTTTTTAATTTTATTACAAACTAAAACTTATATATATAATACAAGTAGCATAAAACTAAAACATAACGAGAAAATAATAACGAGAAAAAACTAAAAAAAAAAAAAAGAAAAAAATAAGAAAAACATAAAAAATTTTCTCCTTTGAAAAACTAAAAATTCAATTTTATGTTTCATACTTTCTTTTCTTTTCTTCCTTTTTTTTCAACTAACAACATTAACATAATAAAATTATTATTCTTTTTTTTTTTTTTAATATAATTTATTAAAAATTTGGCATTAATATTATTATTAATTCTATTATTGAATTAAATCACGTTTTACTTTCTTGAATAGTTGGAGCATTTTTTTCATTTTGTATTTTATGATTTGATGTTTCATTCTCTTCCGGTATCGATTCACGACGTTCTTCATCCTAAAAATATAGTAAAAAAAAAAAAATAATTAAATAACTTTATTAGCATAGTTATTGGATTGTAAAACACCTATGTGTACTTAAACACTTAATATAGAATTAATTTAATTAGTTATGAAACAAAGCAAACAAAGATTAATTTTACAAGGACATGATTCTCATGCAAATTGCATACATATAATTAGTGAAATATTATTAGGAATTCCAAATAATATGCATGGAAACCATAATACATATAATTATTTTTATAGATCCAAGAAGTTGCAACTAAAAATTATTAAATGTTAAATTTAATTCATTAAAAGTTGAAAGTCAATCAAAATAATTGAAATAGATTTCGGTGTTTGGAAACGTGAAAAACTGTAATTTTCGTAACTTTTGTAACCCTTGTAATTTTTGTAGCAAATCGAACACCAGCAACTAGATCTTTGATACAGAATAATGCCACATTTTTAATTAGAGTTGGAATAATATCCCACATGTTTTGATTAGTTACTTACACATGTTATATTTTAATGATAATTTTTTACCATCTACCGCTTAAAAAAGGTTTTTTTTTTCACATGAGAAGTTTTTACGTTTTTAATTTAAAAACTCAAATAATATTTTAAATTTATGATATATTTTAATATGTTTAAGATTACCTGTACTAAAATTTTCATTTTAAATGGTTTAGTATAACTGGCTAAATAATAACATTATAAAAAATCTAAACATAAACATTTTTAAAAAATATACAAAAGTATTTAAAAAAATTTAATTATCTACGGTATATATAATTATATCGTTAATTACTTTTGGTCTTTGCTTATTTATATAAAATGAAATTAGCTTTTGTGCAGATTTAGTACGTCAAAACTCCATGAATATTTTAATAAAATTGTAAACTATTGATTAATATTGCATTAACTCTTAATTATTATTTACTACATTGCAACATGACAAATATTAAAAAGTTAATTATATAATAATTGAATATTAACATGAAATGTGCTGAAAATAATGTAAGAAAAAGGTACTTCTTCATTTTTAAAAATGCTGAACAATCAAAAAAGCCGCAAGCAATAATAATTAGGGATTAGAAATTAAAATTAGATAAGCATGCATTTAGAAAAATTTTAAAACAAATTTTGTTACCGAAACTAATATTGAAGGAGATTTTTTAAATTCTGTTCCTTGAACTACCGGTAATATTCCACTCGGATATTTTTTCATTCTATTACTTCGATAAAATTTCGATTCTATACCCTAATTTAGAAAAAACAAATTACTTCTTTTTAGAATATTGATGAAATACAATTACAATAATGAAATAATCTTAAATTAAATTGAATAAAATTAAACTATATAACAAAAAAAAAAAAGAAAAAATCATTTCATGTTAAGCAAAAAAGTTTGCATTGAAAATTACAATAAATAATTAAATGGAATATACATTTCTCTGATCACAATATTTTAAATTAGAAAAACTTATAGATGGACAATGATAAAATTTTTTATATACATAATTAAAAATTCTATATATTTCTACTACAAAGTTAATATAACAAAAACATTACATTATCTCATATTTATGATTTCTAAAATTATTCATCTACACTCTATTAAAATTCGAAATAATGAAAACAATTAATTAACTATTCGAGTTCAATGCAATCCTTTTCCGTATTCTTTTATTTACTTACTTCTAATACAACAGCTTCTAAAGCTGGTTGTGAAACATTTTTCGAATTTAAATTCGTACTTAATTTTGGTGCACTATCGGCACGATTTCTTCCTAATGAAATATTTGATGTAATTTCATTTTTACCTAATACTGAATTATTTGATACTTTATGATTTATTTCTAATGCTGATTTTAACAAATCAACTTTTGATGCACTACCACCAGTACTTGTTTTTGAAGTTTTCATTGATTCTATATTATAACTACTACGCCTGTGCAGTACATGATCATGGATATCAACCTAAAAATAAAAATTAGATTAATTACAACAATTATAACCTATATTATAATAATTAGTTACTCTTGATCCTCTTGGTAATGAAGTAAGACTTCCAATTTGATTATATTTGATCATTAAACATAAACGTTCTTGTGACATAGAAGTACCAGCATCTTTTTTCATTGGTTCTGTTAATTTTTCACATTCAGGGTCTTCAACATCTTCAACATAATCACCATCATCTTTATCATCAAGTTGATGATCAAATTTTCTCAACCAAATTAAATGTAATAAACCATAAGCGATACCGCCAACGACGGCTAATAATCCCATGTAACGGAACGCGTCACGAGTTCCTACATGACCAATTAATAAACCACCAGTAAATGATCCACTACCCCTACCTTTAATTAATAAGTATATTTTACTCAAATAAATATTTAAAATGAATACTTTATTCAATAAAACTAATACAAACCTAAACTGAAATGAGCCATTCCAAGAACTCCTATTAATGTGGCTAATAAATTTTTAGGTGCTAAAATTGAACAATATGTTGCCGCCGCAACCCACATTAAGTGACAAGATAGAGCTTCCATTGCTTCAAAAGGAAAACACCACCATGCATTCCTAATATCAAAAAGTCAAATTGTAAACTTAATTTAATAAACCCTTAATTTTAAAATTATACTGAATTTGCAAAAATCATACGTACTCAATAAAGGAATAGCCAACCAAACGTCCAGCGTGCGAAAAGAAAGCAATAATAATTAAATTAACATGTCCAAATATTCTGGTAATTTTTTCGGCCCCATACAAAAATGGTATACTAAAATAAAATAAAGAAATACTCACTTTAATATTATTGTGTACAAATTTTTAAGTTAACTTACCTGCTAACAGTTCCAACTGTTATGGTAATACCTTAAAAATAAAAGAAAAATAAAAAAAAAATATTAAACAAATCATTTATATTAATTAAAATTAATTTACCTAATAAATAGTTTGGAGCTCCTAATTCTTTCAAATATAAAAATAAAAAACTTTCAATAAATCCCCAAAAGTTACCCAAAGCGAATAAAAATAGAATAAATATGATAACATGTGGCATTCTTAATAAATTCCATAAATCTCGGAATACATTATCAGCTGGTAATTTATCACCTAATGGCATTAAACAAACCGAAAATATTGAAATAGTTAATAAAACATCATAGGTGTAAAATGCAGCAGAATAATCAGTGTAACCAAGTCCAGTTGAAGAGTAATCAATCATGATACCAGTAATTGGCGAAAAAATAGCCATACCAATACTTGAAAATAATCTTTCACGTCCAAAATCACCACCATATTTTTCTATCATTGTAAGTGCAATTGGATCCATTATGGTTACTCCTGCTGATAACATAATTGTTGCTAGAAATCTATTACGAATAAATGAGAATTTGTAGAAAACATTTTAAACGAAATTAAATGTTTAGATATTTAATAAAATAAAGGAGGCAATATACACCTTAATACAAAATAAATCCAAAATATTGTGTCATCACTTTCAATATAATCTGGTGGACAAATATCCGGTCCATTTTCTACAAATCTACACCTTTGAATAATACATTCAGCTGTGGCATCAGTCAATTTTTGCCTATTAATTGTTTTATTTGTCTCTGTAATAAGTCCACCACAACGAACATCTTCATCATCTAATGCAGTATAATTAACTCCAAATTTATTTAACAGTTTAATTCCAAAGCGAGAATTTAAATTTGTTACTGTTTCATTATCGTCATGCTCAATTTCTATACCAAGATGTTCAGTCGGTTCAGCTAAATCTGGATGCATAAGCAGCACAAATTTATATGATTCCAAAACTTGAGGCCAAACAGTAGTTGTAATATTTTCAAGAAATTCTGTTGTCGTTATGTTATCTAAAAAAAATTAAAGTGAAAGAAATTAGGCACTTATTTAAATTAAATATTACTATTGAGAAATAAAAATCACTTTTTACTTGATTGAGTTGTAGAAGCTTCTGTTACTGTTAACAAATCTAAAGTTGAATAATCAACTGTTTCCGATTGCACTGTAAAAGGTAAAATTGTTGTATTTGGCACGTCCGGTGTATCTGATGTTATTGTAGTTGTGGTTAATAACTCCTGTATTTTTGCAGTTGTTGTCGGTAATTCTGTTGTTGTTGATGTAAGTACAGTAGTTGTTGTTGTTGTGGTTGTAGCTGTCTTTAGCGAATTAGCTTTTGGTACACGTTTTCCAACCGAGCCGGATGGTTTTGGTGATAATATTTCTATTTTTGGATTTTGTTCAAATAATAAACAATGATCAAAACATTGGTCAACAATTAACATCATTTCTTTTTCTTCGGGACATTCACGACTTGGACATGGTGACCACCAAAGCTAAAACAACAAAGTTAGATTCGAAATGTTAGTATCTTTAATTTACTCATTTAACAAAATAAGAACCTCAGCATCCCCAGTGTCTGGATGACGAATAACATAAGCGGCTGGCATTGTACCTGGAATTTCCTGTTGCGGAATGTACAGCAACGAATGATGAAATATCGCATTTAAAACTAAACTCATAACAACAACTGGCTTGTATTTTCCGAATTTATCAACCAAAAAACCTTAAAGAAATATTTCAATTATTTATATATGTGTATTTCAACATCCAAAATAGAAGTTTTCAAGTGCATATTTGGTGGAAGTTTTTAAATCAAAATAATGTAAGTAAACAACGCGCCTAAGATGTACATATGTATATATGTACATACATAATATGTTTGGTCTTGATAAAAAATTACGGTGATATAAAAGTGCACATATGTATGTCGAGTTAGAATAATTAAAACAGTGCACCTAATAGTAACAATTAATAGTTAAAATCTTTGCTATAACTTTTTTTTTTAAATACTTTATATGTATAACTTTTTTTTTATAAAAGTCAAAAGTTGAAAGGTATAAACATGTCATAAGAAATATTATAATATGTTTTGCTTATTATCCTTTGCAACCGCAAGATGTCATAAAATTAAAAATTTAATTTTTGTTTATTGACTTTCCTATGTGTCAAATATTGTACTTTTACAAAAAAGTACATTTTGCATCTGTTTAAATTCGCAAAATTGATTCCTATCTCAATAAGTACTTTACATACTTTACTTTATGCGTTTTCGCAATCGCTATAACACTGTGTTACATACGGTCTGTCACATTGAACTACTATAGTTAATATATTTGTTTTAAAAAACTTTTATTTATAAATCATGGTTATACTTTCTTAGATCTTTGCCCACATAGGTACATAATTATAATTAAACTGTATATTTATAACATAAATAAAATAAATATTTTACAATTTTTATTCATATACATTGCCGCTTTTGTTTATACTATATACTTAAATATATATACATATATTTTTGTTGATTATTATGTAACTGCGGAAACATATAATTAAGTTAAATTGAAGAAAATGTGCTTTATATTGGTGAAGCACGCAAATAATTTAAAATTACGAATTTTAAATGTTATTCATTGTGTAATATTATAAAAATTTTAAACAAAAACTAAAATCTATAAATATTACTTTATCCGAATTGCAAATAATATTATTTTATAAAGATCAAATGGTATCACTATCACATATTTTTCAAATTGAAATGAGATTAAAATTAAAACAAAAATTTCACTGATTTAAATCAGGGATTTGAATTGAATTGCGCTAGAAGATGGGATTCTTTTTTATCATTTTTTGTTCAGCAATTAAAATCGGAACTAGTGCACATGAAAATAAGTTTGCATTTTGCTGATGGATGGAGGTAAATATGTAAAATTTAAAAAACATTTTGATTTAGAAAATTTTTTGTTCATTTCTAGGTTTGTAATATACTGAATTTTTAAACTTACCTGTAATTGGGGGACTTAAAAATGTCGTAAACGGTAATGCTAAATAAATAATGGCAATTTCTTCAACTGTTAATCCAATCGATTGCATATGAATTGTTAAATATGGTAAGAGAGATGAGGTCGCTGTTGAAAAACAAAAAAATTATTTTTTATATCATGGAAAAACTGGTCTTTGCAACTATAAATTATTTAATAGTAGTAGGTATGTAAAAATAAATAATTCTTTAATAAATGCGTGTATGCATGTGTAATGTGTACTTGTACAAGTTTTAGTAGTGAATTACTCTATGTAACTTAAAAGTCAAAGTCAAAATATTTAAAATTCTAAATTATTCTTCTTGGAATGATAAAAAAGAATTAGACTTTCACTCTACGTTTGCACTCAATAATTAAAAGAAGGTCAAAATAGGAAAAAAAAAATAGAGAAGATGTGAATAGCCGCATGTAAAAATTTTCTTTTTATTATTTATTTATTTTTGTTTTTGTTCTTTTGTTAATTTGTAAATTTACTTTGCGGTCAAGGTACTAACAGGAAGTTTTTATTTATTAATTATTATTCATTTTCTTAAGATTAATTTATTTTTTTTATGTTCTTATTTTTTTGTTGTTTTATTAATTTTGGAAAGTTTTTCATGGCTGTTTGTGTGGAAAAATGTTGTGTCATAAGTAAATATTTGGTGTATATTTTTAATAATTTTTTAAGCTATGATTATAAAATTGGCTGTTTTTTATTATATAAATCAATTTTTTCTTTAAATATTTAGAGCTAAATTTACAAAAAAAAAATAATTTTGTATTATTTTATAACTATAATATTTTATTATAAGGTTTAATTAATTAATCAGTAATTTTATTAAAACATTAAATTATATTTAATAACAAATTTTAAAATACAATTAAACAAATAATATTTTATAAGCTGAGTTAATTAAATTTAAACATCGCTGATTACGAGAAAAAACAACTAATATAATCTAATATAATATTTTGCCTAAATTTAATCATTTATTGTAACACATAATTATTTCTAAATGAAAAATAATATTAATAATAAAACAAATACTTTTATTATGTAATGCAAGCAAGCATTTTGCAGCTTATACTCGTATATAATTTAAAAAAACCAATTAAAAATTTATAATTTTTTAAATGAACATATGTAGTTGTAGCGTTAGAGAGATATATAATTCGTACGTTCTATAACATTAATATTTATATATAGAATCATATATGTAGTAACCCTGAGATTGCAATTGCAATAATAGTATAGTACGAGTAATGCAAAATTCAGCTTATAAATTCCAATTGCTGAATTGTCACGGTTATTTTCCATTAATTAAATATTGCTTAATAAGGAAAATATAATGTTTTAATACAGCGTTATTTATTAACTATGAATTAACTAATTTTTGACTTAATTTTAATGTGATTAAATATTGCAGGGAAGATATCAACATATTGTCAAATTTTTCCATAATTTTATATTCTGCATATATTATTCAAATTTGCACAATTCATCAATGGAAAAAATAAAAACTGAAAATATTGTGTATCAACGTACCCGTGACTATAGCAGCATCGAAATTGAATAAAAGGCAATATTTATTCTCTGGTAACTTTCTTAAGATTTACTTAATCAGTATAGATAGAAACGATGCTTGGAGTAGTGAATAAAGTGTTATACTGTTAGATAACACATGTGAACAAAACAATTCCCATTCTTTTAATTAATTATGCTAAGTTCTTGTGTTAGGATATCGAGTATATCTTTTTATTGCATATAATAAATTATTATATTCAATATTTTACTTGTTAATAGGAAAGTTATATTAGCTATTAACACGTATTATATTAGCTGTTAATACTTGTTAATATTAGAAAGTTATAAAAGCAATAAAATGTTAATAATTAAGTATATTTAAAAAAAACTATTAAAAATTTTAATTTTTTTTTAACTTTTAATATCGTAATCTGGCATTATCTGATCAAATTTCAAATTTTATATTTAATTCAAAAAAAAAATTATTTTAATTCAATGTTTTATATGGAAAAGTAGAAAAATATATGCAATTTTTCGTTTTAAATTTTTTAAATAAATTTTCCTGCAAGACCTTGATTATCTAATTATATATAATATTTGTACACACAATCATACACACGCATTCATACTTTAATATATTTATCTCATACGTCTTATATAAGTAACATAACTCATTAATTTATATAAAATATATCAAAATAAAAAGTTGACATACATTGTTATAAATTTTAGATACAATAAAAGTTTTATAAATACCAAAGTATGTATGTACTAATATTGTGCACTATTTTTCTACAAAATAAAAGTAAATTTATTTAATATTAATATATAGATTTTACGTCATTTGTATTTATCATACATATATATATATATATATATATATATATATATATATATATAGATATGTGACAAGTTTTTCTATTGTATTGAGACTTTGAAAGAGCAAAGATTATATTTTTGTACATACAAAACACTTATACATACATATATATACATTAATGTTCAATTAAATGGCATGAAAAATAAAAATGAGAAATAAAAAATATATGATTTCTTTATAAAATATATGAAATAATCGGTTTTGATAATAATAATTCAATTACTTATTCAAATTTTAGATATTTTAATATATGTATGTTAAATATATAATAATATGAATGTATGTATAATAAAATATAAAAAATACCACATGTCTGCTATTTCGCCTATTATTATCAATAGTAATATTTAAATAAATTATTTTGATTAAGATAATATCCAAATTATAAATTGATTTTCACAAAATCTTAATTATTAATTCTGGAATTGTAATTTTGTTGAAAAAATAAATACTTATATAGATTAAATGTGGATTTTCATTGATTTTCATTGATGTTTGCTATACAAAAGAAGGAATAAAGGGTTTTAATTATAAAAACAGCGTTTTATAACAGAAATTATTATTTCTTTAAAATATTTTTCATTTTTACCCAAGTGTGCTGTAAACATATGTATTTGCAAGTAAAGTTTAAAAAGTGAAAAATCTACATTACTGTATCTAATTATGATATACATTTAGGTATAAAGTCGAACCCATTGAAAAGTTTATTAAAAAATTATGTTTTTTGTTCTTATGTCCGATTTTTCCGTTTGCTAGTTTATAAATGTCCGATTTTATATGTATTTAATCCGTTGTTTATGCCCGATTTTTCTTATAAGCTAGTTTATAAATAATTTACAAATTAGATGATTAAATGATTCCTTTCAAACTAAAAAAAATGTGTTAAATCAATTATTTTTTGTGAATAAGGAGTTAGGCAAATACATACAATGTTTATATTAAATAATAAAACATATTTTACTATATGTACATTTAGCATTATCAGTAAATTTTCATTTTTTATAATTTTTGCTATTTTTATTCCGACCTTATCCTATTAATCGGTAATATAACCGACCTAGCATTTTTTTCTTGGAATTTTTACTCTTATTATTTGGGATTTAATTAATTATTTTTTATTTATTTATATATTATTCTATTTAATAGTTGTTTTTGTATTATTGGTTTCATTTTTAAAACTCAAAAATTATGTTGAAACTAAAAATATTCTAATTTTTGCATATGAAAGCAAACAAAATGCTTGTTACATGAATTACAGACCATATTATAAATCCTATCCTAATAATTTCTAATATAGCACATTATTAAATCCTAAAATAAAAATTTAACATCAAACTGCACCATATTTGATTTTTAATTTTAAAACTTAATAATTTTGAAAACACTAATATATTGATATGTGAGTTGGTTATTTTGAATGTGGTCCAATTAATATTAATTGGACAATTTAAAAAAAATAAGTCCAATTTTTAAAAAAAACTAAGGTAATGGTAATTTTTAATGAGCTATAGACATCTTCTCTCCACAGTTAAAATCACAATTTCAATAGATTTCTATAGACATAAAATACACAAAAACAGTTTTATCTCAGTATATGAAAAAATGGACTTATAACACTTTCAAAAAAGCCAGCTAATACAATATGAATTTGAATCTTAAAATAATCTTAATAAATTCGAAATTTATGAAATTTGCTTATATTTTCAGAATATTGCAATTAGTTAATTTTTTGTTTTATTTATATTTAATAAAATATTTATATTACTTATTTAATTTCTTATTTAATATTATTTATCTTCTTGTTTTAATTTCAAATTTTTCTAATTAATTTTTTTTTTCAAATTACTCAAAAGAAAAACAAATTATTTTATTTTTCTTATATACCTACATATACATAAATATAACTATGTAGTGTAGAGGATTTTTTATTTACCCAAGTGACAGGAAATATGACAACAGAGAATTTTATAAGTACAAAAAAAAAATAATATAATAAAAAAATTTTCCATATTATTCCACATAAATACTATAACACATACTTACAAATTTTCGTAAAATATTATAGCGAAAGTATTCTATACAGTATTTAATTGAAATGAAAAAAAAACCAAACAAATAAAAAAATTCTAAAATTAAAACATTGAATGACGAATGTAAATAGAAATATCAAAAAAGGAGTCATTTTTATAATATTGTACATAAGTTTTATTTGTTTTTTATTTTTTTTTTTATTTTTCTTTAATTTCAAAATTTAAGACACTATCAGAATAATTAAATATTTGTATATCTCAATCATTCATTCATTATCACCATAATTTTTAAAATAAAATATGAAATATTTATATTCCTATATATATGTATATATAGAAAACATCTGTATAATAATTGTGTCTACTAATACATACATAAAAACACATATACAATAAATTTACGTATATATATTCAATGTACAAATCCATTTTTAACAATAATATTATTATGGAATTTTCTTTAATAAATAAGTAACAGAAATTATAAAGTATAACAAAGAAGTATAACAATTAAAAATATTATTTGAACAAACTTGACACTTAAATGGATCACTCATATTAATAAATAAAGAGAAAAACAAAATTGAAATTGTTATACAACAAAATAATATCACTCATATTTCAAAATCATCACTCAACTCATAATTTTAAAACGAAATAAAATAAAAAATAAAAACTAAAACTGATAGATAAAAAATATTTTTTTTTTCTTTTTAAACACATTTAAAATTTATGATTATATGGAAAAAATAATAAAGAAATTTCACAAAAGGAATATTTATTTTACAATACTTAAATATTTAATTTTTTTTTATTTATTTAATTTATTTTATAAATATTTTATATTCAAAAACAGAATAACTTATGACTCATATTCGCTCTTAATTACAATTAAAAACTCAAATATATATTTAAATTTCACTCTCAATTTTTTATTTATATATGTAAAAATATAAGAGTGTGTTAATTTCACTCTCTTTTCATCTCTTTAATTATAATTTAATTTTTGGCTTATTTCTAATTTTTATTATTATCATTTTTAAATTTTTAAATTTATAATGGCAAAAAAAAATAATTAAAATTATTACCTCCATACATAACGAATAAAGTTATTTTTAACATAATTAAATTTGGATTAATTCCACGATTACGACAAAATTTGCCAAAACTTGTCATATCCGGCTTTTCATTTGTATCAGTCGCTATTTCTTCCCCCATTTTTCTTTTTATTTATTTATTTTACTTCTTTTTTTTATTAGTATAGCTTATATTATTATGTGTATGTGTATATTTTTTATAACAGTAAATTTTTATATTTTAATTTAATTCTTATTATGTATTACTTATGTTTTTCGTTTTGTTATACTGCTTCTGCTATATTATTTTTATTTTTTTTTATTTTATTTTATATTAATTTACTATTTTTATATTTTATATTTTTTTTTTTATAGATTTTTTTATATATTTTAGATTTAGATTTTTTGCACAAAGCAAATATATATATTTTTTTATTTTTTTTATATTATTTATGTATATGTATTTATATATATATATTTAAATATAATGTGTGCATCTGTAATAATATTAAAGTTATTTTAACTGTATATTATAACAGTAATTTACACTTGACAATGATTTATTCTTATTTTATTTTTTATTTAATATTTTATATAAATAATTTTTTTTAATATTACTTTTTGTTTTTTTTTGATTTTATTATTTTATTATATTTTTTTTCTTTCAATTTGACATATATATTTAAATTAATTTTAATGTATTATTTTTGATAAAATATTTATATTTTATAATTGGAAACTTTTGAATAATATTTAATTAATTTTATTAATTAATTAATTTTATTAATTAATTAATTTTTTTTAAACAATTTTTCAATTTTTTAATTTTATTTAATTACCAAAAATATTTATGATTATGTAATAATTTAATAATTGTTATATTATTTTGATTAATTTTTATATTTTCATTTAATTAAATGCGATAACTCACAAATATATATATATATATTTTTTTTTCATAAAGAATTAATTTATTTCATTTTATATATAAGAATTATTATATACAAAATTTACTGTGCCACAATTGAAATTTGAAACTATTTCGAAAAATTAATTACAATATTTCAAAATCGAATAAAGGAAACGCAATTCTTAATAAATACAAAATAAATAAAAGTTTTAGGGATTTAATTAAAAATACTAGAACCACGAACGAAGAAACCGTAAAAGAAAATTTAATTAAAAAAAAAAAAACTAAAAATTAACTATTAAGGTATTTAATTTTTTTTTAAATTTAAAAGTGAAATATTAAATGTATATCATCTGATGTCTTAAACGGCACTAAATCTACCTTCTAGTTAAATTTAAATCTTTAAATTAATTTCAATGTTTTTTTTTCATGTATTTTCATTTATATATTTGTACACACAATATTTATACATACATACATATGTACGTAAATTTTTGATATTTTATTTCATTTATCTTTTGATCCAGAGTTTAGTGTAATGAATGAAGAAAATATTATAAGAAAAAAAGAATAAGAATTTAAAGCTTAAAACTACACAAAAAAAAAAAAGAGTGTAGAAATTTTTTTTTAAATATTCTTCTAAAATATAAATCAAGAATATGTAAATGTACAGAAAAGTACACAAAATTATACATATTTAGGGTGTTTTTTTCAAATATTTAGTTTTTTGTATTAGAGTTTTTGACACTTTTTGATTGACGTAATCCATCACGGTTTTCTATATCAAATCGCTTGAACGTGATTTGTCATTTTATATTGGAGAAACTGACGACGGAATAGTGTTTCTCAACTTAATAATTACTTGGCCATTGAATTTTGTAACGAAAATTCGCACTTTCCTTTTGTATGAATAACTCAACCGTTGGGATACTACCGAAAATTAAAAATTTTTTACCGTAAATAAAAAATTTTCTTTATATCAACCATCCAGCTTCGATTACGACTTTGAAAAGAGATATTCAGAATGAAATGTACAAAACCATTTAATTAATCGTATAATATGTGTTTGCGGCTATCATTTTCAAAAAATTATATTTGAAAAGTAAATGAGTTTATAGATTAAAATAAAAAATTTAAATACAAATTTAGCAGTTTATCAAACCAAATGATTCTAAAAAATCACCCAATAAATATAATAATATAATCATGTGTACATATACACATACATTTAGTATACTAAATAACACATAACCATAGGTACCTATGTACTTATATTACCATACAATTGTACTTATATACATATATATAGAATAATCTTTTGTGATTTAAACTGATCAACATTTAAACTGAACAAACTTTGAAAAGAATAATAAAAGAAATAATATAATAAAATAATAATAATAATAAATACAAGTGAAACATGCGAGACATGGTTAGTAAAAATACAAAGTGTATTTGATCAAAAAAAAAAAAAAAGATGAAATGAAAAAAAAAAAAAAACCATAATAACTAAATAAAATTTGAATTAATTTATGATAAGATGCGCGATATTCTGTTTTTGTTTCTTTTTTTCTTATTATTATTATTCTTTTTTGGCTCACATCAGCGTTATCACATCAGAATTAAGTTTTTCGTAAATATATGAAATCACAACTTAAATACGGCAGCAGATGATCTCTTTTATATACTTACTTAGTTAATATAAAGCTAGTTAGCTAAACTAATTTTTTATTTTTGTATTTTTTTTTTCGGTTTTAAATAAATTTGTATGTGTGTTTGTATTTATGCGCTTTTTATTTTGTGTTATTCAGAAAATTAAAATTATGGTTTATCGAATAAATGTAGTATAAAGTAAGTTACAATAAGATTAATAAGTAAAATTTAAATTGAAAAATTCTCTACTATTTACCACGTATATTTTAAATATTTTGGTAAAATTCAAAAGATGTTAAACATTAATTAATTTACTAATCAGTAATTATAACTCATAAGCTGAGTTTTATAAGAATATAGTATTACTATATTTGAAGTTACGATATATACTCAGTTTAGTTATATATTATGTAGTTTAAAAACTAAACACCACAAGCCAAAATTAGGAACAGTTATTCCGATAGATGGCTTCATATTTTTGTATGAAACAAAAATGACAGAAACGTTGATACCTATTTAAATTTAAATCAGAAATATTATGCTTCTTACTTGTCTATCTGTAAAGAAAGGATTAGTTAACCTGCAGCCTTGTAGATTGTAGATTTGTAGATTGTTGCCCCCACTGTACAAATCTATAAATCTACAACCTGCAGCCTTACTATGTAAATCAATTTTCGTGAAACGATTTTTGTATTCAAAAATATAATAAGGTAATTTATCTTAATGGAAATTTTTTCATGCAACTGCAGAACAGATGGATGACGTAATCTGTTCTGCAGTTGCATGAAGAAATTTCCATTATGATAAATTAGTAGTGTAATAAGCACATTCTTATTAATTCCGCAACTATGATGTTGTTTTAGTAAAATTCACAAGGTAATGCCAATCAATTTGTATTGTATTACCTTTTCATTTCTGCAAAAACAAAATTCGTATTATATGCATAGTAAGTTCCCCATAGATTAATTATTTCATTCTATTAATCTATTCACATATTGTTTGTTTAAATTCAAATCACTTCAACTGATTTTACTGCTTCATCGAAAATAAGCTGAACCTTCCGCATTGACATAAATTGTCAATTTTTTGACAAATTACATAGTGATCTTGATCAACATAAATAACAACGCATAAAAATTTGATTAATTAGAATAATAAAGATATGTAGTATTTTAATAAAAAAATCTAAAATTTAGAATTACTAATTATTTACTTATTACTTCCATTATTATTTACGTTTAACTGAATACAAAATTAACTGAGATTAATTGCATTTTTATATAAGAAATTTTTATTTCTTAATTATGCAATGCATATAAGAAATTTTTTCACAAAGAACTTGAATAGGACATCAAGGATAATTTTTAAAACGACGGCAATATATTTTGGTCATCTCATAATTCATAATATTGGTGTTATGGAAGAATAATGCGGAATAAATAAAAATATCTAAGAATTTACATGAAAATGTGTTACAAACTAAAAAGCATTGTAATACCTTTGTTTAGTGGAAATAAAACTACGTTAAATATATGTTGGTATATCTGGTTATATACATAGGTAGATACGTATGTACATATGTATGTATAAAAATAAGTGAAAAGTTTAATACGTAAATAATAATAAATTTAAACAGTGTATACGTTCTAATGTCTACAATAAATTTGTATTAAAGGTAAAAACACTTGATGATGAGCTTCTAATTCTTAACAAGGTATGTAGGTACCTACATACATAGATACCATATATATATATATATGTACGTCATATATAGTTACAATTGAATAAGTAAATTTTAATATTCTTTTGTTTCTTTTTAGTTTCTATCTTAATTTTATTACACTACTCTTTTTCTTGCTTGTAAGGTTGACAACTTAATAATAGCCATGGAGTTTGGTTGGTATACCAATCTTTATACTTATAGTGGGTTCGTCTTATATTTTTAATAATATTTATAAGAAGAAGCTGTTTGTATTATTTTGAAATGGTACCTTAAGTATGTACTTACCTACATAAAATATTTGCATGTACTCATATAGGCAATAAATAACATTATGCACTTATAAAATAATAATGTTGATAGTAAAGTTATACCTTCATAACAATAAAACAGAAAAATAGGCCATATTGGTGTTGTGGGAACAGAGTAATAGAGGATTATTATGGCAGTTAAAAGAATTTTAATTAATTCTTATAAATATAAAATTCATTAATTATATTTAAATCTAAAATTAAGTGGAACAAGTGGTTTTTTTTTAATTTTGCACTGTATTGGATACTAAATTGTATATGAAATTGAAATAACATAAAACTTTAATAATACTATTTTTTTTTTAGATTTTCTAAGTTGCGGTTGGAATTTTCTGGATCTCTTGAATCTCTTGGATCAAGTTAAGTTTTCAAAAGCTCTCCAATCTATATCTATACATTAGAACTGAAAGTACAAAAATGTCAAAACTAAAAGTCAGTTCTGAAATAAGCAGAAATCTAAATTTGTGCATCAATCATACATCAAATCAATTAATGAAGGTACTTACTTGAATTTCATAAAAATGTATTTATTATTCAGGTACCTATTATGATTGCAATTTCACATATAACTTGCAATCCTAAATAGAGTAATTATTTTAAATAAAATATTTTTGTAATTTACTATCAGAATTATCTCTATACCTTTTGAAGAATAATTATTAAATAATACAATTTATTTAGGCATTTGCAATGAATATTGCTAAGGTTATAGTTTATTAATTCCCGCGATTAAATTTAATATAATTTTTAAATTTTATTTAAATTCATTTTTTTAGTGTTAAAGGCAGCTTCAATTTTAATCTTGAAATTTTCTTATCTTGAATTTGCTCCAAGGAAAGGTGATATTTTGGAATTCAACCGGATTAATCTTGAAATTATTAATTTTGTCTTGAAACATTTGATGATATTTTGAATCAACATTTTGATCAAATTTTATTCAAAATAAATTATTTTTTAGAAATAATAAGTTAGGAATCTTTGTGCATGTCTTACAAAAATCTAGTTGAATCTAGATGCGTCTTTGATTGAAAAAAAACAATTTACATTTTTAAAATACAATTCACTAAAATTGTAGACAATATTAAAAAAAAAAACATCCATATTAGGACACAGAAAATCGTTACACCAAGTCATACTCCATTTGTTTTTAAAAGTATTTCAATAAACTGATAGTTTCTTGTTTGTCTTGAATATTGTGTAGAATTTATTGTAATTTCTATTCGTACAGAGTCGAAAACATTCTCTGTAAAATAAGTATGCCATATTTATTGTAAATGACTAATGTTATAAACTATATAACATTTAAATATTTCAAGAATTTTTATGTAACTACAACTAGTTATAATATTTATATAACATTCACTTACTAATCTAGTTTTATTTTTTTTATCCACATTAAATATGTAATAAATGAATATAAATTTTATGAAATGGTGATTTAAGAACAAGAAATATCCGCATTTGTATTACGTCAGATCCTTGTACGTAATATTATTTGATTAAAGTTAGAAAGGTGAAATAAACAATTTTTGCAAAATTAAAATAAAAGATCTAGCTATGTATGACTATTGCCATAATTTAAACTATAAAAAAAATATTCACTATATTTGCATTTGTGCCCCTTATCTTGAGCTAAAATTTATTATCCTAAAATTGTAGACAGTGAGTAATTTAATAACATTAGATTTGTATAGTAACAAAATATTAAATATGAGAAAAAACAATAAATACCATTAATCAAAATCAAATTATATACAATGCATCATGGAAAATTAAACATTATTATAAAATGATCTTGTAAATATTTATTAGAATTTGTTTCCTTAACTTTGAAAATAATTTATATAAAACTTAAATATTACTTGAATATTAATAAGCTGATATTAGGCAAGGAGATTAAATTTTTTCTAAAATTAAATGTATAGAATTTTGTAAACGTACAACATAATTAAAAATTTATAATTAAAATATCAAATGTATCCCAAAAATTGTTATAAAATACAATTTTATATGTACATATATTGCATTTTAAATAATATTAGTTTTGTGAGCACAAATCGGTGCATTTATATATTATATATTGCAATCTTAAATCTAAAAAAAATTTCATTGCATCTAGAATGAAAAAAAAAAATTCGTTTAGAATAATATAATATGTATATAAAAGGTTTTGAATTTCAAGCCCTTGTAAATTATAACTTAGTAATTAATTGAAAATATTCACATAGAATAACTTTTGGAAGCCAAATTCTTAAATTTTATAAGTAAAAATCCTAATATTCACTTTTAATATTAAAAGTTTTATAAATTTATTTAAAAAAAAAATAAAAAATCTATATATTCTGTGCAATCACCTTGAATACTTTACTATTCAATAAAATATATTCAAATTTTTTTATATTTCTGAAATTCAATATAAGTACTGGGATGATAAGTTTTCAAATACGATTCCAGAATGATCGTACATAATATATGAATTGATATTTATTCAACCTAAATGAGATAGGTGAACGAATATTTATTCAGATGGTCGTTTTCCATCTGATGTTTTAAATTATTTTTAAAATAAAAAAAAGATTTAATCAATTTTAAATCAATGTTATAATAGAAATTTTATTTAATATATAGCTATAAAATTTTATGGTTGGGAAAATACTTGCATAAGTAAATGTTAATGAATTGTGCAGAGTTATATTATGTATTTTCCATTTATTTTTAACTACATTCTAGTTATACGTTAACTTTTAATTTGATTTGATATTAATGTAAGTGTGCTTTTTTTTTAACTTACCGTCTTTTATTCAAAATGGGGATTTCCAAACAGCAAAATCAGTAAAATAACAGTTGTGCTTACAGTTCTGATGGAATTTTTAATTTTTTTTATATTATATGTGCAAAAATATTATAAATTAGAAAAAGAGTAAGAGAGTAAGTTGCAAATCTGAAATAAGTCCTTTGGGTACTCAAATATGCTGTCGTTGGTTTTCATTTCTCAATACCACCTAAAAATTAAATATCTTATAGGTATTTGGGAGTGAATACTTGTAAAGTTAAAATTCTCCAAATTCTTTTCAACAACAGAGGTCTTTTACCAGCAAGATTCTTTCATTTTAGATTTAGTGAGTATAAAAAATTTTTTTATAAACACTCATTATTTTTTGTTTATTTACAATGAGCGCTTCCGTTTTTTAGCCCACAATAGTTTAAATATGATCAAATAAAATTTTCATAGAACATTTTGATCACACACTTAAGAAAATTGTAATCTAAGAAAGTGAATTCATTTAATGACTTTTTCAAATTGAAATGACAAAATAATATAAACAAGTAATTAAAAAGAGTTTAATAACTGTGATTTTGGTATTTTACAAAATCTGTGACGTGAGTCTTTTTTTTAAACAAGCAGAGCGCGAGTGCTATTTTCAGTATGCTTTGATTGCCATAAAGAACATAATTTTTCGAGTCTGAATACCCTGAGATAAAAAGAGGATTCGGATTTATTTTTTGACAAATCTATATACTATTCTATGGGTTTAAATACAAAAACGTCCGGAGAAAAATTTTTAATATACATAGAATTTTATATATACATTTTTGTACTGTAAATATATTTGACATTTTTGTTTTTTTTATTTAATCTTATTTTTTGAATTCCTTTTTAATAAAACTGAAAATTTATCAATAAATGGGCGTTTTTCTTTTTACATAAATAATCAAAGTAAATAATTGTAAATAAAGGAAAACTGTAGTTGCATTTTGAATTATCAAATACATTAATATAGGCAGAGAGTTGCTTTTAAGGTACAGAAGGACTTTTTATTTAATTTAACTTAATAAAACAATAAAATGTTTTTTTTTTTTTTTTTTAAATATAACTTAATATTTTTTTTTTTATTTTTGCAATTTTTTCATTTTTTTTTCTTTTGTTTTTTTTAATAATTTTTTAATATAATAATGTATACATATATATAATATACTTTTATATTTTCCTTCAAGAAAAAAAAAATACGATAAGAAACAATGCCTATATGAAATTATTGTTTTCTGTTATACGCGCGGAATTAATTTATTGTGTGTGTGTTGTGTGCGAGTTTAATATTAAATGTATGTACTTAAGTAAATCAAATATATATATATATGTATACATATACATATATACATATATTAAATATATATACAATACACACACATAACAAGTATGCATGTATGTAACAACATTTTTTTTTTAATTTTTTCTTTTTTTTTTTTATAATTTTTCTTTTAATTTAATTGACCGTGTGATTTAATACAAATTAAATCATTTACAATTTAAAAAAAAAAATTTAAAAATAGCAAAATAAAAAATGAATTTTTTCTCTAGTTTTATTATTTTTTCTGTATTTTATTTAGTTTCTTTTTTTTCTATTTTTTTTTTTGCAATTTTTTTTTTATATTAATAATTTTAATTAAAATTTCAACTATCAAAAATAAATAACTCAGTTTTTCTTCTTTTTTGTTCTTCTCTCTGTTTTGTGTTTTTTGTTTGCTTTGTTGGTTTTGTTTATTTTGTTTATTTGTATATTTGTATTTTACAAATTTTATTTTTTTTTATTTTTAATTTATTTTTTTATTTTTTTATTTTTTTGTCATTTTATGTTGTTTTCCATCCTTTTTGTCACGATCTAAAAAATTTGTATTAAATATATGATCATCACTATATACATCCAAATTCTCATCACCATCATCATCATCTTCATCATCATCATCATCATCGTCATCATCATCATCATCATCTTCATCATATTCAATATTTTCATGATTGATATTAAAATTATTATTTGGTCTTATAATATGTCCACTTTTATTATTACCATGATAATTATTTCTTGTATTATTACCACAAAGTCCACTATCATTATCACTATCATCATCACTATCAATATTAATACGACGATCACTATTACCACCGGATGGTAATAATAGAGCTGTTGCTGGACCAGAATTATTTCTTTGCATACGTTTTATTTGATTTTTCGGTGTATTAAATTTTGGCAATAAGGGTTCCCTAGCTGTAGAAAATCGTAAAAATTTCTCACTTTTACTACTATTTCTAGCTGTATCAATTGTTGGATTATCCCATTCATCTTCACTTGGTTCACATAATGATTTTGAATGATGATGTTGTTTTGTTGGCGGTTGTTGTGTTATTGTTTCCTCAGGAATAGAAAATCTAAATAGATATATAATATAGGGCGAATTGTTTTTTTTTTTTTTTTGTGTTAAAAATATTGTATAGTACATATATAAACACACATACAAACATATTTTTTAACACATATATAACAATTGAGAATACAATATAAAGGGGGAAGGAAGAAAGTGGAAGAAAAAACAAAATGGAAAAAATATAACATTATAAAATAGAAAAACAACATTTATAGAAAATATAAAATTAACAAGTAATTATATAAAAATTTATTTCAATAATAATATTATATAAAATATTTATTTATAGAAAAAAATAAAGAAAAATTTTTTTATACTTATTCCGAATCCAATTTTTTATTTTGCTATACCCTAGTACCTTATTATTAATTATATAATTATATTTTGAAGTTTGTACTTGGATCCCATTTTTAATAACATTTATACAAAGATTTAACATTGTATAACCATTAAAATGGTTATATAAATGAATAATTATTGTAAGAAATTTTAATTTATTTCAAAAACTTTTAAGGATAACAAAGGATTTTAAATAAATGCAAAATAAATGCATAATATGCTTTAAATGAATACATAAAGATCACTTGTTAAGTATGTATATAAAAGAATATTGCAAATCGAAAAAAAAAATCATGAATTAAAAGTTTTAATAAAACAATTACACGAATTTCATTTAAATTTAATATAAATAATTAAATAAAAGCAAAAGCAATATTCAAATTTATTAAAAAATGCTGTCAGATTCGCGATCAATTTCGCAAATTTGCTTTCTTTTACAAACTAAAAAAAAAATTAAAAAATAAACATAAACAAAAATGTAATATGATTTAATTAAGGAAAATATAAATACATAAATGGATTCGGAAGAGCTTCTTAAAATTAAAAAAAATAATAAAATAATAGGAAAAAAATCAAATAAATTATATGTGCGTGTGATTAACATGCAAATTATATATTAAAAGTGAAGTAAAAACCAAAGATATTATAGGTGATTAAAGAAAAATTTCCTAAAAATATGCAAACCAATAAAATATTTAATAAGGCCCATAATTCAAATTAAAAGTTATAACAGTTAAATAAATAATTTTTATAATACACATATATTTGTTAATATTGAAAACAACTAAAAAGAAAATTTTGGAAAAATAAATAATAGACATGTATATATATATATGTACATTAAATATGTATAGGAAAAAGAGTAAAATTTGAAAAAGGCACGAAAAAGCAAACGAAAAAAAAAAAAAAACTAAAAAAAAATTAAAAATTTCAAAAATATTTTTTATTTTCAATGGTTTTTTAGGAACATAATCTATTCGGCTGCTATTAATATTAAAATATAGAATTCAATTTTTAAATTAAAAATATTTAAGCGAAATTTAATGAAATATGAAAATTATAAAAGAAAAAAAAAACGAGTTGCTTCAAATTCATTATTATTCTTCAGCTTCACATTTTAACAACATATTTTAATTTATAAACTTATTTTTATTAAGAATTTTTTAATTTTCTTCTGTTTATTTTCACTTTTTTTTTGATTTAATGTAGCAATTAATTTGTAAAATAATAGATAATTAAGAAAAAAGTGATGCTTATTGAGAAAAACAAAAAAAATAATAAAAATTATCGAGGAAAATTTAAATATTTTGAATTTTACCTAACTTGAAAATTTATAATAAATAATTATCACGACGGTAAGACTGTTTTACAAAAATTATAATATAATATGTTTTGAATAAAATTATTTAATAGTTTAGATTTAATAAAAAATTAAATTTTAATTGAAAAATAATTGAAATTGATTAATTTAACTATTAAAAATTTAATATAACAATTTCATTATTAAGATAAAAATAAATCATAAAAAAATTAATATAACAGAAAAAAGTTGATCGTAAATTTTTTTTCACAATTTAAAATATGAATTTCGAGAAAACCAAAAAAATTGGCACAAAATTAAAATAATTTAGAAAATAACAATTAGATAAATTTATTGACTATTCATTAATTTTTACCTTAATATTATAAGTTTTTATTTTTATTAAATTATTCATTTTTAATAATTTAATTTTGTATAGAAGTCACCACACATCCTCTAAAACTAAAAAGTGATCGTAAAAAATCGAAAATATTTTCTTATAAAACTCAAACTAAAATCATCAATGTGGTTTGTGTCGACAATATTTATTTATTTATGTAAATTTTATTTAATATTTTATTTAAAGTAAAGATGGTGCCAGAATTCTCCATGTCAAATAATATTAAAATTCAATTTTAAAATATTCTTAAATTAATTGCTACAAAATTCTATTTAAATAAATTTTTATTTTAAATATACAATATTATTTAAGTTATTTTTGTATTTTTGTATTGTTTCTAATAAAAATAAATTTCTTTTTTGTCACCGTTTCAACATATTATATAATTAATATGTATATTATGTATGTATGTACATAATTATATATTTAAAATTTAGTGCAATACAAAATTGTTGACACTCTATATATATAGTATACCTACAAAAGGTATTAAAAGGTAAAGGTATAGGCCGAATCAAAGAGAAAGATAAAATAAAAAATATATGTACAATTAAATTAAAAAACAAAATTTAATTTTAAATATAAAAATTAAAACAAATTTTATTTTACTATATTTATATGTAGAAATTAATATTTAATATGTAATATTTATTATGAATAATTTTTAAAAATTATTTCTATTTTGAATGAAAATTCTAATTCTATATTCAATGAAAATATTTTTTATTTAAGGAAATTAATTCTTTAATTGGAAACTATTTATGCATATTGAATACCCAGTAAGCAATTTAACATCCAGTATATAAGACTTTAACTTCAACATGTTCAATCTGAACACTGATTTTTAAAAACTCTAACTACATTATCGTCTATGACTATTATATGAAAACTCGTTTTATAGCCCAATATAATTAATAATATTCGGCATTCATAGGTTTTAATAACTGAACTATAAGTATAAAATTTCTAGTTACTTTTAAAATGTAACTTATCAAGATTTTGGAATAAGATTTTAAAATAAAGTTTAATTAAAAATTATTATATTTTCATTAAATAAATTGAATCAATAAACATTTTATAAAAATTAATTTTTTTTTCTATTTAAAGATTATAAATAAACTGTAGAAATACTGGTTAGAATTGAATTATGAAATAGATTTTATAAATTCAAATAGAGTAAGAATGAATAATACAATATGCCTAAATTAAATTATATGCTCCTTTTCCAATATATATTTTATTATTTAACAAAAAAAATTCAAAATAATATTTTACATATAAATATAATTATTATATAAATTATGTATAATTGTGTATATAATTATATGTTTGTAATATGGAAATTATTTAATTTTAAATAAAAATATAGGATCTAGTTTAGTGCAATTTTTAAATTGGTGCAAATAATATACATGTCAGTTTTGCTTTAAGGGAAAACCAAAGAAAAACAATAAGAACCAAATATAAGTAATTTAAATTTTTTTTGTTATATATACATTTATGTATATATAACAAATATAATATACAATATATATATATAGATATTTATATATACATACATTTATATGTGTATATGACATTAACATTTATTTCCTTTTTACAATAAAATTTTTTTTTTTTTAAATTCTATAAATTTTATTTTTCATATAGCAAAAAAATTAATTTACCTACAGCCAATTATTCGTCATATATAACCAGGCTCTTCAAGAAAGATTAATTCATCACTATACTTAATACAATTCACAATACATATGTAATGCAACATTATTTTGTAATGGTAAGATTATGTTATTATTTTTTTTTATTTATTATTTTATTTTTTTTATGTTTTTAGTATATGCAGTTATGGTATTCAGTTAAAGGACAAGCGAATGTTTTGGTTTCATATGATAAAATGAAAAATATAGAAATATGAAAAAAACAAAAGGAATAAAAAATTGTTTTTAATAATCTATATCAATCTATATCAAAATTAATTTGATGTTTGAATTTTTTTTTTTTTTTTGTTAAATTTAATATTCTTAAATTTTTTTTAGAGAAGAAAAAATTTATTTGTAAGATTTAAATACAGCAAAAAAAGGTAGATAATTTTTACAAGTGAGTTGAAAATGAAATAAGTCTTTCAATGAAAGTTTTAAAATTTAATATTTTTGCATATTTTATGGCGCAAAATAAAATTTTAAATAAATTAGAATATTTGTTTTAACTTCTCTCTTTAAAATACACAAATTTTACTCAATGAAAACAAAATTAACAAAAATTTCTTGTATAAAATTTCACAATTAATTGAATATTAATTAAAAAAAAAAAAAATTAAATATAAAATTAATAAATACCGATAAAATATATTTATAAAATTTAATTTATGTGAAATAATTTTTTTAAATTAATTCCTAAAATAGACTTATTTCAATTTTTCATATAACTATATGAAAATAGTTAATTTGAAAAAAATTTGTATAATATAAAGAAGATATGAAATTAATATTTTGGAAGTATTCACATTAATTTTTTTTTTTTCAAAATACAACACATGTATATATGTATAAATTAAAAGGACTTGGAAAATATTTGAACTAAAATCACTTTTAAGACAAAAATTGAAAGAGAATACAAGGAAATTGTTTTTTTTTTTTATACAATAACGTAATAATATCTACATTATGTTTTCAATTCGCAGAAATACAAATTTGTTGTTTTCCTAAAAAAAAATAATGCCCATTTAAATTATTAAATTTTGCCCATTGAAAATTTACGATTAAATAAAATTAATTTAAAAATCTTAATTATTTCTAATAAAATTTATTCTTTGTACAGAACTTGCTCACTTGTTTTATGAAATCGTAAATTTCTGCAAAATGAAAACTCTTTGTATATATAGAAAAGTAAATATTTATATTATTTATTATATTTATTACCTAATAATTTTTAAAATATATTTACACTAGCCTCATATATAAATATC